CAGATAACTGACACTATTAAATTTTGTAATTGTCACTAAGTGAGATTGGATAACTGTCGGTGGGTGTGAGGGGAGTATAAAATCCCATAAATCTCTTTCATTGTTGATCCTAGTTCTGTCCATGAGTTTTGATTTCATATTAACGTTGTTTGTACCCCTTATTTAAACGTTTTTCTCATTAAACAGGTTTACATGTGACATGTCAAAACCCCTTATTGAACATGTTTAATATACATGTTTACATGACAATATATTAAATATCTACCGTCAATTTAACAATAATATATGACAAAAGAAATGATTTAGGATGTTTTTACTTGGGTTGTTTCAGTCCCAGGCCAGACCAGACTTAAACAGACCATACTAGACCACACTTAAACAAACCAGATCAGACCATACTTGAATTCCGTAGTTATAAATACACAGAGACCAGACGTTTATCGGATCGGTTCAGACCAGAGTTAAAGAGACTAGACCAGACTTAAACAGACCAGATCAGCAAATTACAAACCAAGTAAAGACATCCTTAGTATGCACTACATATAAAAAAGATTCAAATCATAGATTTATTAGTTTGTGGACCAATATTATACGGTGAAGATAGCTTTAGGACCACTTTTTGAAATTACAGACCAAGTAAAGACATCCTTACTCTAATCTGTTTTTATACACTTAACTTTTAACTCATGATATAAGTTTATTGAAGTATGTACCAGTACTGATCTCTTTGAAATTTGGTAATTGTTATAGATAATTGATTTAATTATAAATTTTTATTATACTCCGTAACACTTAATAACTTATAAATTTAATATAACCCTCGCAAGACACGCATACTAAGAGCCCGTTTGGTAACACGAAAATCATTTGATTCGGCTGATTCTGCTGAAATTTATGAATTCCTGGCTAAAAGGGCTGCATATATTGGCTGATTCTGCTGATATAAGAAAAAAAAATATTTTTAAAATATATTTTATTAATAACATAAAAAAAACTATATGTAAAAATAACTAAAGTTGTCATCTACCGTAACTTCAGTCAATACAGCTAGAAAAATAATTTCAACTTTTTTTTTATTACTACCTCCGTCCCGCTATGATTGTCCCATTTTACCTTATCGGTCCGTCCCACTAAGATTGACCCATACCAAATTTGATAAAATTTGTGTGATTCCAAATCATTCTTACTTTATTCTTACTTTATCAATTCAATATCAACCATATAAACCACTTTTTATTAATTTGCATGTCACTCCCTCTTGTCCCTTTGTTAGCGGGACGGAGAGAGTATTACACAATTCAGCGCGCGAAAACAAAAGTTACATATTTGATAAAAAAAATAGTTGATAAACTTGATAAGCCGAAAAACAATGTTATCAAATAACACTATGTCTAGTCTAATACGGAGTAAGGATGTTTTTACTTGGACTGTAATTCCTCCCAGACCAGACCAGACCAGACTTGGATAGTTATAAAAATACAAAGAAACCAGACCAGACCAGACCAGATCAGACCAAACCAGACCAGCAAATTACAGTCCAAGTAAAAACATCCTAAAAGTATATGAGCAAAAAAACGGAGTAAAAGTTGATGAGCAGAGGAGTGAGGATGTTATTATGTGAAGTGATGAATAGCAAGGTAATGATGGGTGTTTTCATTTAAGAGTAGGGTAGGATAAAAAATACTCCATCCGTTCCTAAATAAACTTCCAACTTTCCTTTTTCGCCCGTTCCAATTAAAACTTCCACTTTCCCTTTTTGGTAAAGGATTGCGGTTCACAACATTTCTTACACATTTCTCTCTCCTCTGCACAACTCTCCACCACACAATATTCATTATCTTAAACTTTGTGTCAAACCCAGTTGGAAGTTAAAATGGGAACATAGGTAGTACTCCGTAGATTAGTAGAAATTGAACTGATTAAATTCGAAATAAATGAAAACCATTCAACCATCAAAAATTTCTTTTGTACACTTTCTTATACACATCAGTACACCTCCGTATCTGTGAGAATTTTTTTTGTCTGTGAATCCCAGTCCACAGACAAAAACGGGCTTGTTTTGTCTGTAGAATTTTTCACAGACAAAACATGCCTGTTTTTGTCTGTGGACTGGGATTCACAGCAAAAAAAAACTCTCACAGACACGAGGGTGTACTGATAAGAAGGTGTACACCAAGAATTATTGTCAAACCATTGAAGCTTTGGTTCATTATTTGAGGATCAAGCATGAAAAATAGAATGAATCAATCAAAATCACGTAACGTAACTGGTCAAAGCTGACTTAACGTAACCGGTCAAAGCTGACTTAACGTAATCGGTTAAGTTTATTGTTTTACTTTTCTAAAAATGAGAAACCCGGACCAACGTCACCCCTCTTTGAAAAGTAATACTCCCTCCATTTCAGAATCTTTGACACACTTTTCATTTTTGGCTGTTTCACAATCAATGACACACTTCCTTATTTCCTTATTTGGTAAACAAATATTTACCAAAATAGTGCAAAACAATGTCAAACAGTGTTCAAACAGTGCCAAACAGTGTATTCTACAGTAAATTTACCCCTCAGTAACATTTTTTCCTTAATTCTTGACAAGTCAAACTGTGTCAAAGATTGTGAAACGGAGGGAGTACTAAAATAGGTTAATCCCCCAACTTAAAAAGGAAAGAGATTCTTGATATAGAATGTTTATAAGCGTTGGATGGTCATTAAATTGGGGCGAATGAATTACTCCCTCCGATTCCTAAACAAGTTCCACATTTGACTTCACACATATTAAGAAAATAAATTTGACTTTAATGTGGAGTGCATTGTTTGACACTGTTTTGATGTAGATAATAAGGAAATGTTTGAAAGTGGAACTTAATTTTGAATCTGCCTGAAAAGGAAAGGTGGAACTTGTTTCAGAAACGGAGGAAGGAGTATGTTATTCATTGAATGCTGTGAAACAAACAATAAGTGAGAGTAAAATATTTACAATGCATATGATTAGTCCAAATCATTATTTTATTATTTGTTATATTAACACTACTCATTTCAGCCAATTGTAATATTCTATTCCGTTCACACAAGGGTACACCAAGATTTATCATTTTCTATTACCAAAATATGTAAAAATAAAGTCAAAATGCGTTTATCTTAGGATGTTCCTAATTCGACCGTAATTTTATGGTTTGGTTTGATTATTCTTGTTTATTTTAGTCTCGTATTATTTGGTCAAAGCTGATATATAGACCTGTCAACGGGTCGGGTACGGGCCGGAACGTAGTATCCCACACCCGGACCCGTTAGCCTCTATAGGGTTCCAGATCCGACCCATATACCCGGCGGGTCTAGAACTAATGTTCCGGACCCATACCGGGTCGGGTAGACCCGACCTGTCTCACAAAAATCCAATTCTAATTTTTTAAACAAAAAACAGGATCTCTTACTACCTAGTACTTTACTGCCAACAATATGACACATGAATTGTAATTACTTGTCTGTAATTATTCAACCAAACACAACAATTGTGAGATTGTTTATAATTTGCAAGATACGTTATGTTAGAATAAAGAGTAAAATTAATGGCTTTGAAAACTGAACAGGCTTTTTCTTGAATCCTCTGCGGTGTGCGGACTCTAGGGTCTCTAGGAATTCTTCTTCGGAATTATTAAACTAAATCGTAATGTGGGCGACAACTAATGTAATACATCCTGCGTCCTAAATTGATTTGCAAATTTGACTTTTCTTGGTCAAACAGTTTCATTTTATTTGCTTATTTAAGATGTCGATTTTTAATTATATTCTAATTTGAAGTTTGCAACTTTGAAGAGATTTTAATGTAGTTTCTGAATATATAAATTTTAATTATTAAAAATTGAATTAATTAATTATCGATAAGGAGCATTGACTTTTTTTATTGGTTGACAAAAAAATGTTTACTTTGCAAAACAATTTGGGATGGAGGGAGTATGTATGTGTGTGTGTGTGTGTGTGTGTATATATATATATATATATATATATATATATATATATATATATATATATATAACAACGGGTCGGTTCCTAAACGGGTCGGTTCCTAAACGGGACGGAACTACATATACCATACCCGACCCATAAAACAACGGGTCTGGATCCAGGTCCGGTTAATGGAATTAAATGTAGACCCATACCCATTGAAAAAAGACGGATCTGGGTCAGGTTTGAGTCTGGACCCGACCTATTGACAGACCTACTGATATATAGTCTAATAAAATACTACCTCCGTCCCAATTTGTTTTGCAAAGTGAACATATTTTGGTCAACCAATAATAAAAGTCAACTCTCCTTATGGATAATTAATTCAATTTTTAATCATTAAAATTTACATATTCAAAAACTACATGAAAATCTCTTCAAAGTTCTAAACTCGAAATTAGAATATATTTAAAAAGAGAAAATTCCCTAAATAGGAGCAAAAACGTTTTGAAATTCCAAAATAGGAGTATCATGTTTTTTATTCCATTAATATGAGTAAATTTCTGCCAAGTTTAGCATTACTAGGCTTTAAAACATGACATTTTTTTTCAAACTTGGTAGATTACTCCTATTCAGGGAATAAAAAACATGATACTCCTATTTTATAATTTCAAAACGTTTTTGCTCCTATTTAGAGCAATTTCTAATTTAAAAATTGATGTCCTAATTAAGTGAACAAAACGAAATTGTTTGACAAAAAAAAATCAAACTTGCAACTCAATTTAGGACAGAGATAATAGATGTTTGTTATAGGTGTATTTTAAAACCAAAGTACACCAAAGTAATTCAATCCACAGTAAAGTAATTCAATCCATTTAAGTCTGACGGTAACCAAAGTACACCAAAGTAATTATGTACGGAGTATTTAGTCGCTCTAACCTTCCTTCACTCTTACACAAAGTGCGTCATTAGAGTAGATATTAGGTGTCGATCTCACACGTAAATTATTGTATATACGATGTGTATATATGTGATGCGTACACTTCACATACATAGTTTCCCACAATTCACCGTTTCTTCCCTTTCTCCATCTTTCTTATACTTTTACCTAATTGCGGCGGAGTTACTTAGATAGTTTACCTGCACGCCACTCCCACCGCCGATCGGGAAAAATGAGCCCAACGGAGCAGAAGCGGAAAATCCACATCCACCGCTCATCTATCGCGGTTTGCGGCGACTGGAAGGAAGAAGCTATCAGCGGAGGATCGTTGAAGCGTGTGGACCTGAACAACGGATCGAACGGCTGGGCCTCGCCTCCCGGAGACCTTTTCCTCCTCCGTGGGCCGAACTATTTCACTAAAAAGACGAAAGTGCCCTCCGGCGATTGGCTTCTGGAACCGGCTGGGGTGGACTGGCTCCGGTCTAGCTCGAAGCTCGATCACGTCATGGCTCGCCCTGATAACCGCGTCATCGAGGCGCTGAGGAAATCGCAGTCGCACGGTAAGTCACTCAAGACCTTCATACTCGCCGTTAACCTACAGGTACCGGGCAGGGAGCACCACAGCGCCGTGTTCTACTTTTCCACGCGCGATGACGCGCCGGTCGAGCCGGGGTCGCTGCTCTACCGGTTCGTCAACGGCGATGATGCGTATCGGAACAGCCGGTTCAAGATCGTGAACCGGATCGTGAAGGGGCCGTGGATCGTGAAAACCGCCGTCGGTAACTACTCCGCCTGCATCCTCGGGAAAGCCCTAAATTGCCACTACCACAGGGGCCCAAATTACTTAGAAATCGATGTGGATATCAGCAGCTCCGCCATAGCCAACGCGATTCTCCACCTGGCATTGGGTTGCGTAAAATCTGTGACAATTGATATGGGGTTCCTAGTCGAATCTCAATCGGAAGATGAGCTGCCGGAGAAGCTATTCGGGGCCGTGAGAATCTGCCAGATGGAGATGAACTCCGCCGCATACGTCGATACGACGTCGTCGGCCAAAGTATTACCCATTGGCCACTTTCAGAGCAGTAGGCGCGTGCAGTCCGAAGATAGCGGCGAAATCGAGCCACATAGTTCTGGTTAAAAAACAAACACTGAATTTTTTACTTTTCAATTTCACTCAGTTGTAGATAACCTTTCCAAGTCAAATTCCATCAATAACTTAATCAAATACCACTATCTCTATCCCATAAAATTCTTTGTATGGTCCTAAAAAATTCTTCTCACTTACCATTTTTGGACAATTTGTGTGATTCACTTTTATTTCACATTTTTCTTATGCAACCACAATCATATATTCCTATTTTCTTAATCTCCGTGCCAAAGTCAAAGGGGGAAGAATTTTATGGAGGGAAGAATTTTATGGAACAGAGGTAGTAAAGTAGTAAGGTAGTATTCTGTAAATTCTTTACCATTTTCCTAATGGCGAAATCAAAGCGTGATTGGTAAAGAGATTTGACATTGAATCCAGGATGATTTAGTTAGTTAACCACTTTCGGTGGGAATTAAAACGTTCGCAGTTAATTTAGATATTTTCTACTCCATCCGTCGCTTAAAATTTTGCCAAGTTTGATCGGTACGTGAATTAATAAAGTAAAAAAATGTGTAGTTAAAGTTGTGCAGAGGAGAGAGAATTAACTGGAACCACAAATTCTTTACTTAATTGTAAAAGTGGCAAAGTTAATTGAACAACAAAAAAATACATGTCACCAAATGTGTTCCGGGTGTTCTTATCCCTTTGACTAGGGTCAAATAGGCCCGCCCCACTACTGATCGTGTAAGATCAATTTAGTCTCTGAACTAAAAAAAAGTTTAATACGCACCCCAAATCGTCAAAAAAGGATTCAAATTTCATTTTTTACATGTAAACAACCCCTAAAAAAGTCCAATTTGCACCCTTAAACTATTAAAAGGTGTCAAAATTTCAATAAATCAAAAATAAAAAACAAAAACAATAAAAAATTTGAATCATTTTTTATCGATTCAGGGTGTGAATTAAACTTTTGTTTATTTTAAATACTGAATTGAGTTAAAGCATGTATCTATTCATGTTAGCCGACCCCAATATCTTTTGGGACTAAGGCTTGGATGTTGTTGTTGTTGTACTGAATTGAGTTAAATGATCGTTACATGAAAAAGATTTAATTATGTTTATTTGATGTAATTATGAAACATTCTTCTCTGAATTTGACTGAACTATGCTTGTGTCGTGATGAGACTAGCTCCGGAGGGTTTAGATGATCGGCTCTGGGCCTTCCGAATGCCGAACAAAGGATTGTTGGAGCTTTCCGTAATGACAATCGTTGAATTCGTTGCCAATGTGAGGTATCAAGTGATAACTTCCACTTAAAGGCCATGTTTGGTAAATGGCGTTTTAGTCTAATATTAGCGGGTTTGACCAAATTCAGCGGTTTTAATCGGCAAAACGTTGAAATTAAGTGTTTGGCAAATGGCTTTTCACTAAGGCGTTTTTATCAGAAATGACGACAAATGAAATCGCTACAACTTGCAGCGTTTAGAGCAGCGGATTCCAAATACGTAATTGATTGTCAAGGTTGCCCTTCATATTCTTCACTTACTCAAACGGAGACCTTCCCTATTCTTCTACCTTCGCTTCTGAAGAAAGTATCGCCGGATACATAAACTAAGTTGCAGTCCTTCATATTTTATTTTATGCCATAATTTTAAAGTAGATCAAATCAGTACATCGTGCCCTAGCCTCTGTGTAGGGTTATTTGTGAGGCAGCGCAAGATTGATTCCGGCGTTCTGTTCGATTGGAGAGGGTAGTATAGGGATCTTTGGGACAGATTGGTTGATTCAGAGGCGGTGTTTTAAGCGACCAAGGAGGAGAAGCGAGTTGATTTACGAGCAAACGATTTCTGGCAAGCAATCAGGTTGGATTTTGGTGGTCGGCTTGGGATTCAATTTAGCCGGTAGAGGCAGCTAAATGCCTGGTTGTTCATGATATATTTTTATACTATGGTACAATTTATGTGTGGTTACAGATTAGATCTGTATATAGGTGTACATGTCATGATCTAATCTATGATCGAATTATTTTAGATATACATCCATTACGTAGTATGTTTTTATTCTGTTAATTTTTAAATAATTAATTAACTCACTAATATGTTAGGGTATACTCATGCCCTTTTTGTCTTTTTAGTTATTGACCGCTAAAAGTAAACAGCTAAATTACCAAACATCTTTCTGTTACCCGCCAAATTAATCCGCCGGTCAAACCTGCTGACTCAATCCGTTGTTTATACCCCGCTAACTCAATCCGCTAACCGCTCATTGTCAAACATGCCCAAATTAAACATTTAAAAGCTACAAGCTAGAATTTGCTTTTTACTTTTCCTGTTACACAAAAAACGCATATTTTACGAAACAATATCAACTTTTACTTTTCAAAATCAATTTTTTATCAAACACAAGAAACTTAAAATAGTAAGCACTTTTCCAAAATCATTTAAAAAGGTGATTTTTTAAATCAAAAGCTACTGCAAACACTCCCTAATTAAGAGACACGAATATTGAAAATTTGAATCGACTGAATTAGGGCATATTAACACGAAGTTAATACGCCTAATTTCACTAGTGGAAAAACTTTAAATAGAGGCGCTTCGTTTGAGGCGCTTTTTAGCACAAGCGCCTCTGTTAGCCGAATATATTAAATTTTTTATTTTTTTCGAAGGCGTGCGGCGTTTCTGGGCAAAAAACGCCTCCAATTTGTTTCCGAAACAATTTTTTTTAAAAAAAATAATGCACCGTGCGGCGCTTTCTTCTAAGAAGCGCCTCCATTTTGATTCCCGATTTTTTTAATGGACAAGCGTGCGGCGCTTAAGTCGGAAGCGCCATCGATGATATTCGTTTTTTTAATTAACTCAAGCGAGCGGCGCTTTAAGAAAAGAAGGAAGCGCCTCCAACTTTAACCCTAGCTACACGCCACGCCACGCCAGTTTGGATTGTTCAAGCAGAGGACCTAAGCGCGCTGCAGCGGACCATCTCAAGCATCTATTGATCGAGCAGCCACACCTACCAGAAGACCAAATCTTCACCGTCGCCGGCTGCTCCATTGCTTCCTCCGTACACCAGCCGTCGTCTTCTTCCTCTCAGCCGCTGCTTCGACTTGGCCCTGCTTTCTCGCCGTTGTCTTCTTCCTCTCAGCCGCTGCTTCGACTCGGCCCTGCTTTCTCGCCGTCGACTGGTCGCTAGCCGTCGACGGCTCCGGCTCGCCATGGATGCTCCGGCCCGCATCGCATAAATAAAGGTCAGTTCATTTATCAATTACGTTTTAGGAAATTTTGGTTGATTTCACTTTTATTTGATTTTCGTTTGAATGTTTTCGGATTAAAGTGTATTTCCGCTATAATCTTCCCCTACCATGAATTTACTTCGACAATCTTGTGTATTATTGTGTATATCTTTTTTGTTTTATTGAATGTTTTTCGTTTGAATGTTTTCGCATTATTGTGAGCCTCTTATTTTGACAAAAAAATGTTGCTTGATAGTCACTGCTAGTCCCAAGTTAAATCCGTACCTCTTATTGTGAGCCTCTTATTTTGTCAATAAAAAAGAACTGCTAGAGTCCCAAGTTATTTAGGGATTGGATTGGAATGTGAGTGTTTTGTATTGTTATTGTACAACAAAAGAATTGCTACTCACTGTTATTGTTCTATGTCTCTCTGAATTTGAAAACTGAATGTGAATGCAATGGTGGATGAGAATAACATTTTCTTAATTAGGTATAGTTTTTCCCACTCGGTCGTATTAATTTTGCTCTACGCGTGAGAATAGACTTTTTTTCACTATGTCTACATTATATGTTCTCAGATGGATCGTAGTTGGATGTATGGTCTTCGGAACACCTCTGAATTTTTCACGGGTGTTAATGGGTTTATAAAACATGCTCTTGCACACCAAAAACAACAAGGCCATATATGGATTTTATGTCCTTGTTCGAGGTGTCGTAATTTAAAAAAAGAAAATGATGCCAATGTTGTTCTTCAACACTTGCTTCAGAGAGGCTTTAGAGAAAATTATAGAATATGGTCGTTGCATGGTGAAACTTGTGTAGATGATGAAGTTGTTGCACGACCTACATCTAGTAATTTAAAGCGCAAAGTGTCCGACATTGCCAACGCCTCAAATGATCAAAATGACACTACTAATGATGGCAATGAATACAATGTTGATCTAATTGATGATCTTTTAAAAGATGTGCATGAAAGTTTTGAGCATCAACCAAATTCATACGAAAGTATGGTTGATGACGCCAGAATACCTTTGTATTCTACTTCAAGCTTCACCAAGTTGTCTGCGGTGTTGAAGTTGTTCCATTTGAAATCTAAATATGGATGGAGTAATGTGAGTTTCATAGAGTTGTTGACATTACTTCAAGAGATGTTGCCTGAGGGGAACACACTTCCCGATACAACATATAAGGCTAGAAGGATATTGTGTCCTATGGGAACCGAGTGGAAGAAAATTCATGCATGTCCCAATGATTGTGTTCTCTACCGAAATGAGCATGAAAACCTTGATGAATGTCCAACGTGTCACCTTTCACGTTATAAAAGGAAAAGGAGTACAAATGCTGCTCATGAAGAAGCTGATTCCAAAATTCCTTCCAAAGTTCTGTGGTATCTTCCAATTATTCCTAGATTCAAAAGGTTATTCATGAATGAAAAGGATTCCAAACATCTAATTTGGCATGCTCAGGGTAGGAAGAAGGATGAGTACTTGCGTCATGTATCTGATTCACCGCAATGGAGACAAATTGACCTTAAATATCCGGAATTTGGTAGAGAGGACATAAATTTGAGACTTGGTCTGTGCACAGATGGTATGAACCCATATGGTACGCTTAGCAGTCAGCACAGCACCTGGCCAGTTTTATTGGTTATCTATAATTTGCCATCGTGGTTGTGCATGAAACGCAAGTACATCATGTTGTCTCTGCTTATCTCGAGACCTCAACAACCGGGTAATGACATTGATGTGTACCTTGCACCACTTATTGATGATTTGAAAGTTTTGTGGGCTGAAGGTGTTAAAACATATGACAAGCACACAAGATCTTATTTCCAAATGCATGCTATGTTGTATTGCACCATCAATGACTTTCCAGCGTACGGTAATCTTTCAGGTTACACGGTTAAAGGTGCAAAAGCATGTCCGATATGTGAAGATAACACTTGTGATTTGCGCTTACCTCATTGCAAGAAGAATGTTTATATGAGTCACCGTAGGTTTCTTCCACGCACTCATCGTTATCGTGCATTGAAGAAGGCATTTAATGGAAAAACTGAACATGAAGTGCCCCGTCCACCATTAAGTGGTCATGATGTGTATGATAGGGTGAAAGATTTAGACACTGTCTTTGGAAAGCCTTATAAGCGTAACAAATAGAGCCTTTGGAAGAAGAAATCCATCTTCTGGGAGCTTCCTTATTGGAAAGACTTATCTGTAAGGCATTGTCTTGATCTCATGCACATTGAAAAAAACGTGTGTGATAGCATTATCTCGACTATTTTGAACATTCCTGGTAAGTCAAAGGACAACATAAATATCCGAAAAGACATGGTTGAACATCTCAACATTAGAAAAGAGTTGGCACCACAACCACGACTTAATGGTTTCTATCTTCCACCAGGCAGCTACACATTATCAAAAGTTGAGAAAAGAAGATTATGTGAGAGTTTACATGGTATGAAGGTGCCATCAGGGTATTCATCGAATATTAGAAATCTTGTATCCTTGCAAGATATGAAGTTAGTTGGATTGAAATCTCATGATTACCATGTTCTCATGCAACATTTGTTGCCTGTGGCTCTACGTGGTCTTCTACCTGATCATGTTCGACATGCCATAATGAGATTAAGCTTCTTTTTCAATGCCATTTGTCAGAAAGTCATTCATCCAGAGAAACTTGATCTTTTGCAATCAGAAGTTGTTGTTACATTATGTCAGCTGGAAATGTATTTCCCCCCGTCACTGTTTGACATCATGGTGCATCTTGTTGTGCACTTAGTTAGAGAAGTGAAAATGTGTGGTCCAGTGTTTTTGAGGTACATGTACGGAATGGAGAGGCATATGGGCTATTTGAAGTCAAAAGTTAAAAATCGTTGTCACCCAAAAGGTAGCATCATTAGAGGTGTAATTGATGAAGAAGTCATTGAGTTTTGTACTCCTTATTTGACAAATGTTGAATCATTAGGAGTGCCAAAGTCTAGACATGATGATAGGCTTGATGGAAAAGGTATTCTTGGGAAGAAAAAAGCAAAAAATGTGGACCATGATTTGTTGGAAAAAGCTCATCTTCTTGTGTTGCATCATCTTGAAATCATTCATCCTTATATGCAACAACACTTGAGTGTCTTGAAAACCCAATATCCTAGCAAATCTGAAGTGTGGCTGACTAAATAACATAATAGGACATTTTCAGCTTGGTTTAAGGATTTGATTTTCAATGACACAAATAATGTGTATTGTGATGTTGATGATGATGTTAGGTGGTTGGCATATGGTCCTAAAAGACCGATTGATACATATGAAGCTTATGATATAAATGGCTACACTTTTTATACTATCAGACAAGATGAGAAGTCAGTTTTGCAGAATAGTGGAGTTTCAGTTGTAGCATCTTCAACTGAGTATGCTAATGCGAATGATCAGCATCCTATACACGCTCAATTGTCTTACTATGGAAAGATTGAAGACATATGGGAGCTGAATTACACCAGTAGAACTTTTCCAATTTTCAAATGTGAATGGGTCGATATTCGTCGAGGGGTGCAACGTGATCACATGGGACTCACGTTAGTTGATTTTACTCGATCAGGTCATCATGATGATCCATTCATACTTGCATCACAGACAGAACAAGTATTTTATATAGAAGATCCTTCAAATAAAAGGTGGTCTGTTGTTTTACCTGGCAAGAGAAAAATCATATGTGATAGTGAGAAGGGAGAAGGTGACCACTTTGAGGAATTGCCTTCATTGTCCATCGGAATGAACGAAAGGAATATGACTTATGATTACAATGAGGATGATCTTCCATTCATTGCACATCATAATGACGGCATAGAAGTTATTACTGAAAAGTCAAAGTGACAAAATGGTACATTAGTTTTACATTATTTTTATACAATTAAATTTCATTTTAATATTATTTAAAAAAATTCATATTATGTGCTAATTATTGTGAATATGAATTGCAGGTAAACACTATGAGCGACGATGATGGAGATGATCATAACCATACACCTAATAGTCATGTCAAGGGTGGTGGCGGTAGTGGTCGCAGAGATAGTGATGGGAAGAAAATAATTGAATTCGCCCAGAATGATACAATAATTGGTGAGTTGGCGGAGGAGTTTAAAACATATTTAGGGAAGCTGGTGCGTGGTCGGATGAAAGCCAATATTAATAGCTGGCATGAGGTTTCAGGTCCAACAAAAGCTCAATTAATCAAAGAGATACAGGTATACATAAAATTCTTAATGATTGATGTATCATATATACTAACTAACACTTTATATTGTATATGCTAGCTAACACTTTATATTTAATTCATTATGTAGCATGACTATGTTCTGGAAGATAACATGGTTAAAACAGTATCGAAAAAGTTGTCCAAAATGCACCGAGATTGGAGAAATCGGTTAAGAACAGGTTACCTTTCTAAGACACGACCGGTTGGAAAGGATTGTGTTGATCCTTTGAAGAAGTACAAAGACCAACTCACAAAAGAAGTGTGGGAAGATTTTGTGGCCAAGAGTACGACTCCAGAGTTTATGGTATGATTATTTATATTAAAATGATACTACGCTTATTAGCATTTTAGTGGTCATTAAATTTTTATAAATAGTTAATGTTAAACCAACATATTGAGCAGGCTTTGAGTGAGAAGAACAAACAAGCAGCGCTACAGAACATTTTTCCTCATCATATGGGTCGTTCAGGATATGTGCTTTCCATGGCGAAATGGAAAGAGCAAGGCTTATTAGACCGGTTTCTTCCGACATCGGAGGTAGATTCAACGAAGTCTAGCACAACCACAACTGAAGAAATTCCAAGACATGTAAGCTGGTTTTGTGCTAGGTCGGGATTGACATCTGATGGACATTTAGCTTTTCCCGGTAATACTGATGGCATGAAAGAGAAAAAAAACAAATTGGTAAGTTAAACGTTTCTTATATCTTTTATAAATTCGCTTAAATTAAAGCTAATGCACTTTAAATAAACTATATAATAGGACAAAATTCAAGATGACATAGCTGCAGGGACATGGAAGCCAATTGGACGACATGATATTTTGACTGAGGTTGTAGGGAAACCTGACTATCCTTGCCGTGCACGTGGCATTGGTGGTGGTGTGGGTTATACTCGAGTGTTTGCAGCAGAGCGTAGAGGTGGACGGCGTGATAAAGTGGGTAATTTGAGTGAGGATGATTTGAAAAAGTTGCAAGAGAGATGGTTGAAAGATATGCATCACTACTTTGTTCCTAGAGGTGAACAACCTACCATGAGATCAACGCAAGCTTCTGAGTCAGGCCAAGTTGATACAATGAACTCCACAGCTGATATTCCACATAAATCTTTCATTGTGAGTAAGAATAAAATAAATTTACTATGTGAATGAGAAATTAATTTTGGGACGGAGGGAGTATATGATATTAAGTCTTTTATGCAATGTAATTCTTTAATTGCATGTGGAAATTCATGCAGGATGGTGCAAATTGTAGGCTGGCTGTTGAGTCACAAACTGTTAATGGTGATATGAGCTTGGATTATGTGGCCGTAGCTGTAGCTTACAACACACCTGTTGGTGCTTTGATTCATAATGTATCGATGTCTGATAAAACAATTAAAGTGAACATATCAATGCCATGTCCAGGTTGTGATCAGTGTCCCTTGTTGTTTCCAAATGAATCGGCTGATATGTATGTTATAGCGGATGCTGTGGGTTCCTTTGTTCAGTGGCCAGCTCGGTTGGTGATTTTTGAGGGGGAGGTAGCTAAATAGTAGTAACCTTATACTATCTTATTAAGTGTAATTTATGTATATATTTATATATGTGTATCGTGTTTGTTGTTGACTTTTTTTTAGGAACCACAATTTCAACACAAAAAAAAGAGATGAAGAAGAAGCAAACCCCATTTGTTGAGAGAGATCCTCCAAAAGTAACGGTTGCACCTTCTATATGCCCGTTAGTCAGTGAGAGCATACTTGATACTCTTACAGATGATGTTTTGGAGTTGCACGAGGCATTGCAGTGGTTTGAACTTGAAAATTGTAAGTTCTCTGTCCATCTTTCTACAGATGTGTTCTGTTTTCAGGAAGATCGTCCGTTTGGGGCTACAATTGATCGTGATGAGTTGTCTCGGTTTCTTGAGGGGGACTCACTTGAGATTTGTATCATTCAGACTTTCATGGTGTAAGTATTCAATATACATTACTTTTAAATTAAGTAAATGTCTTTAGGTGCTCGAAGTGTGATAGTATTTATGTATGTGCAGTTGTTTAAAAGAAAAGCTAGTTGAGCTTGGCCGTGACGACATTGGCTTTTTGTGCCCTCACCTGTGCTCTTCTGAACATTATAAATTGGACAAAAAGGGCACAATGACTTACTTGAAACATGCTTTGATAAAGTCCTTTGAAAAGTCATTCATTTTCCTTCCATACCATGAAGGGTAAAACATATACAATATATTTCCATTGAAATAATTCTTGTGATACGTTATTTATTTATTGTGTTATTTTATACAATATAGGTATCATTGGATTCTACTTGTCATTTGCCCTATGATCGATAAGGGATATATTTTTGATTCCATTTCGAGTTCTAGCATTAGTATTCAAAGAGACTTGACAACGTTAGTATTATATATTTGTTTGAATAAACTTAATTTACATATTAATATGTTTTAATATTATGATCGATAAGGGATATATGTTTGTTTGAATTTGTAGAATGTACAGGGTTGCATCTGCACAAAAAGGTAGCGGTAAGCCAATTAAATGGAATAGTGTGAAGGTATGTTACATCCTTTCTATCCTACAATTAATCTTAGGAAAGTAATCTTGAAATGGAATTTTGATTTATTATACGTGTGATGTGAACTATACAGGTTGCACAACAAACCGGAAGTACTGAATGTGGATATTATGTCATGAGATTCATGTGAGAAATAATATCATACTCTGAAAATCATGATATTGGAAAGGTATGAATAAATTGTGAGTTTGCAAAGTTATTTATTATATATATATTGTATTGTAATTAAAGTGAAATATATTTGTGATCATTTCAATACATTTCAGGTATGGCGTTCAAGAAGTGAACCATACACATTAGCAGAGTTCAATGATATCAGAAATATATGGTCAAGATACTTTCTGGATGTTGTATTGCAAAGTTGAGAAAAAACTATTTAGCCAAACAATTTGTAATGTATGAATGTTGATTGGATGTTTAATTAAACACGTATTTGATTGTGCATTATGCGTTTTTATAGATGATATGGTACTGTTTTTATCGGATATGTTTGATTGTATGAAGTTAATTTTATGTATTTTTACGTATTATAAACAGGGCATCTAGCTAAATTTTTAATACAAATATTTTTGATTAAATAAAATTTTAGAGGCGCTTCAACCGGTAAAGCGCCTCTAAAAGTTTTTCAAATTCAGAGGCGCTTTTTTGATCAAATAAGCGCCGCACGCGTCACAAAGATTTTCAAATTCAGAGACGCTTGTGATCAAATAAGCGCCGCACGCGTCACAAAGATTTTCAAATTTAGAGGCGCTTTTTAACAAAGAAGCGCCGCACGCAAAGCGAAAAAAATAATAATTAGAGGCGCTTTTTGCAGAGAAGCGCCTCTAAAAACACGTTGCGGCACTATACATTAGAGGCGCCATAAAGCGCCGCACGTGTACAAAAAAAAGCGCCTCGAAATGACGTTTTTGCACCTGTGTTTTGGTATAGGAAAATTCATACTCAGTATATGATATGGAGTATTGGTTATATAAGGATATATACAATCATAAACTTCTACACCTTTGGTCTCATGCAACGACCATCTTTAGTGAACACAAGTAGTTGTCATACTTTGAAGAACACTTTTGAAAAAAATACATGATTTTTTTTTAATTTAAAATTAAGATATTTTTTAAGTTTGGGATGGATTGAGACCTAGGTTGGCCCCTAGGTGTGCCTCTAATACCATGAATTATGTGTTACAAAATAAATACTCCGTATATCTTTTTTGCAAATGGTTTATATTTGTGTTCTTTAATATGGAGTATATAGTTCAAGGGTATATAACTGTATTTGCTCCAATTCAAAAAAAAATGTTAAGTTTATCTTCTCTAACTCATAAAGTTCAATGATATATCTATTTCATTCTCCCTTCTTTGTTTTATTTGTAGACTATAGTTAATGCTAGTGAGAGTGAGAATTGATAGCGAATGACCTTGACATAACTGTAGACTATAGAATGGTGAATGATAATTGTAGTGGTAGGGTAAAATGTGGTGGTACAGTCAATGAGAATGACCTTGACATAACTAACAATGAAATACTCCTGTGGTAATCACAGTAATTATAGGTGATTTTTTATTTCCAAACATACAAAGAGAATGAATAAATTTGTTCTGTATTCTAAATTGTAGACATATGAAGTAAACATGTTTTTTAGAAGAATAAACATGTTTTTCTTTACCCACTTTTTAGTAGGGGTTTGGTCATATAAAGCTCGCAAGCTGCTCGTGGATCGCTTAGGAAAAGCCGGACTCGAGTTTGGTCGTATTAAGCGTCACTCGAGTTCAGCTCGACTCAAATAGTTAAAAAATTCAATTCAAGTCTATTTGTTTTAGCCTCGTGGCTCGCGAGCCGGTGTTCGAGTCTTTGTGTCATATTATATATATAATTATATATATATATATTTAGAATATGTATTCTAATTTAGGAAAATTCCATTTTCAATACTTATTACGGAGTATATTATATTAGTTATAATTACAAAAATAATAACATGTACATAGTATTATTATAACCATAATCTGTAATAATTATAATATGTACCCGTAACATTTATTGACAGTAAAATAAAGAATAAAAATGTCAGTAAAGGAGACATAAACTAAAAATGATAGTGAATAAATACACACATTATATTTTTAGCTCGAGTTCAAGCAACTTATTCGATTTCAAACTTAAAATTAATTAGCGAAATCTGACCCGAGCTCGGATTTAGCTTGAGTCAAGCTCGGCTCGAGTTTGAGCCCGAGGTCTTCTGGTCGCAACAGAACTCTTGAGGCATTCTCGTTGCAACAGAATGACTCGAGGTCTTCTGGTCCGTTACAGCAATACATGCCCAACGTTATTCTCTTTCAATGCTGCGTTAAATGGACAGTTTATGGACGATTCAATGCCCAGCGGACTGGTCATTGATGTCCAACGTTCAGGTCCATTAACACCCCATTTAACACACAACAAATCCTCCTATAAATAGCTGGCATGTGGTTTGCAACAAACACACGTTCACAAGCAATCATACACGTATTTTAGCTCTCAAAAACACTTCCAGCTACTCCGAAAATTACCAAGTGTTCTGTTATTGTTCCAGTTCGCTGGGACTTTCGTTTGTGTGCTCAAACGATCGTTCGTTAGCCACTGTATCCTGGGAAACGGTCGTTGCAACGCTCCTAGCACCGTGGGAGGCGACGAATACGTTTTAAGGACATCGTGCGTAGTACGAGCTCTGGCTAAAATCTGCTTCATCTTATTTCTATTTATCTTTACCTATTTAATTAATTAATTAATTATTTTTATTAATTAATATTTCTTCGTTTTTCCGAAACACACCAAACAATTAGGACCCGCCACATCTCAAATTCCAATTTTAAATAAATATTAGAGTATAAATATCATGTAAAAAGGATTTCCAAAAAATCTTTATACTAACCCACTCAAATGACAGATTATTTAGGATATTTTCACTTGGATTGTTTGCTGTCACGGACCAGACTTAAACAGATCAGGCCAGATTTCAACAGACTAGATCAGACTTCAATGTTATAAAATACTCTGAAACTAGATATTTAACATACCAGACAGACTAGTTCATACTAGACCATATCGATAACACCAAATCAAATTTAAACAAACCAGATCAGATTAACAAAAAATTCCGGATGAGATGGGTTCGGTCGGGCAGTGAACATGTTTCCTTGCCCCCAAATTGAATTGACCCTTTGATTATACTCCGTATACATTAGGTAGAGATACCTCTTCAGCTGCTGTGCCTAATCAAGGATAGGACTGCTGCCCACTCCGTAACACACAAACGCAGCAAGTACGTGGAATTTGAGAGGAAAACGTGAAATTTCAATATAAAAACAAGCATGTTTTGGAAGAGTTTTAGAACGCGCATCATGTCTTTTATTTTGAGTTCAAAAGTGCTACGGTTGCTACCTATAGCCGACTCTTATCGTCTTATGTATAGCGTACACTAGGAGTGGGCATGGTTGATTAACCGTATTTCGGTTAACCAATTTATGGTTAACCGAAATATCGGTTAGTATGTTTATGATACCATTAACCGTATCATAATGATGGTTAACCGGGTAACAATTAACCATCACATAGGTTAATCGTTAATCGGTTAACCAAAAAACCATTCTAGGTATATACAAATATATGAATAAACTAGGTTCTTTTTAACATTGCCGTATGAACCACATCATATTCTAAATTACATTGTTATAGACGTACTAAATTACGTATATGCAGTATTGTGGTTTTGAGAATAATTTTTTACCAACTGGAAGTTTACTGCGTAGTACTCTCTTCGTCCCAAAAACAACTTCACAGTTTGACTAGCACACACATTTAGGTAGATTAAAATTTTGGTTTGACTTTCCCAAAATTTTACTGTTTGGACACTGTTTGACACTGTTTGGTACTGTTTGACACTGTTTTGATGTTGATAATTTGCCAAATAAGGAAGTGGGTAGAAGTGTGAAGTTTATTTTGGGACATCCATTTAAGGAAAATGGGAAGTTGTTTTTGAGACGGAGGGAGTACAATATATAATACTACATACCGCCGAGTACGTATTACGAAGAATTTATACGTTGTATATGCTTCTACCATGATTCAATATGTAGTCACAGTATATAACTAAAAAAGTTTGATTTGAAACATATGTTTCTCAAAGTTGAGAAAATTTCGTGTAATACAATATTCTTTGAATGTAAAACGAGATTATATATATAAAATCCGAAAGTAAAATTAAGTTTTAAATCTAAGATGCAAGACCATATATATACTCTGTATATTTGTATATTAAATCTGGACAAGGAGTTCATATTGATACATGGAGTTTTATGAATTCACACTAGATTCCTCCAACCGTCAAACGGAAATGAACAATAATTTGGAATCTAATAAGCAAAATGTATGTATGAATTTGGGAGCAATATATTAACTTTTGGATTATCGGTTAACCGACGACATTTAATTTCAAAACCGTAACCGTAAAGTAAAATGTTTTTTCTATCGGTCGGTTAACCGTCCTGCAAGATTTTAAAAACACGGTATGGTTAATCAAAACAAACACCGATTTTTCTGTTATTTACCACGGTTAATCAGTTACGGTTTTTTTGCCCACCCCTTGTGTACACCTTTTCAATTGCCTTCTTGGGTCGAGGCGTGAGAACCTTTGAGTCGGGGATTCAATTCTTAAGAATATGGGTTCAAAAATGTTATTCCTCCATCTCTTTCTATCTAGACAATATATGCACTTTTTTCTTTCTTGTTTTTTTACTCCATCATCTTTCCTAATCTCATCTATCGTTCTCTTTTTATCTATTTTTCTCCTTTATTTTCAAGATCCAGGCTGGGAGTTACCTTTCGGGATCGGCAGAGGTGCAAGAAGCCGGTTATATACGAATGACTGTTCGGAGTAAGCTGGCAGGGGGTCAAACCTACGTACCTGAGGTACTCGAGAAGAAAGGGGTGCAGTGAAAACCGGAAGCCGAGTGAGACGGACAACACATGGATGGCGAAGCACCCCTCTAGAGCATGGGACAACACATCATTGGGGCCCGACTCTATCATCGTCGCTGAGGGCCCAACGTGAAGCTGAGTAACATAACATTCTGCCCGATCAGCCTTTGACTTTAGCGCGAGGGTCGTAGTATTTAAGTACGAGTGCTCCTCGGGTATCCCCACATGCTTCCCGGAATCCGCTGCTTTTTGCTTCTTCTCCCGGGGGGCCTTTGCCTTCTTCTTCTTCTTCTTCTTCTTCTTCTTCTTCTTCTTCTTCAGCGGAGCAGCTCTGAGGGGTTCTGGGCTGAGGGCTCGTGATGCCCCCGCTCCACTGGCAACAACCGAGGGGATAGCGACGGTAACTCGCTGCCGCTCCTTCTTCTCCTCCTCCTCAGCAGTTTGTCCGGCAAGGGCAAGCTCCTCGTCCTCCACAACTTGCTCGAAT